CTAAAGAATGGCTTGCTGTGTGCTCAGCCAGCATGGCTCAGTGGTTGAGCATCAACCTATGAACCAGGAGGTCACAGTTAGATATCTGGTCAGGTCACATACCCCAGTTGCAGGTTTGATCCCCAGTGTGGGGCATGCTGGAGGCAGCCAATCAATGATTCTCTCTCATTATTGATCTCTCTCTCTCTCTCTCTCTCTCTCTCTCTCTCTCTCTCTCTTTCTCTCTCTCTCTCTCCCTGCCTCCTTTCCTTCCACTATAAAATCAATAATATCTGCAATTTTACCAAATATGCAGATTACACATCTTTTATTTTTTTGTTTTCTGTACTTAGACTCAATTCCAAAGCTGGGTGTAGGACTGTGGTTTTACTATAGGTTTTATTTATTTTTCTTTTCCCTACCATGAATTTTCCTGTGGCTTCCCTAGGTTGGTGGGTAGAATATTTTTTAGTTATCTTTCATGGAAGGAACTGCCATTTCTGAAACCCAGCTTTATTCAGGATTCTTGCTTTCAACTCCTGTCCTCAGGCTCTTACAAATTCAGGGTTTCTGCCTCTGTGCCAAAGCTAAAACCCCAACTCCCAACCCCACATACATGTCCTACATTCATGTTCAAGGCCCCTCTTGGTTATTCCTGTGTCTACTCAGAACATTACCTCCCTAGCTTTTAGTTCCTACTTCATTTCTGGCACTTGAAGCATCCCGTCTTTCTTTTGAATTTGATTCATTCTCATTCTCTCTCTCTCTCTCTCTCTCTCTCTCTCTCTCTCTCTCTCTCTCTCTCTCTCTCTCTCTCTTTCTCTTCCCCCCTTCTCTTTCCTCCTTCCATTTCTCTTTCCTTCATCCCTCTCTCTCTCCTTCCCTCTCTCACCCCTTCCCTCCAACACACACACACACACACACACACACACACACACACACATGCACATATACCATATGTGTGTATATCTTTTAGGTTTTAATATGTTATCCAAGATTTCTACATATATGAGTTAAAGGTGTTTGCAATTTTATAATAAGGAAGATACATAATGAAGCAATGTATCTGAATACAACTGTCTTGAACAAATTAGTGAACAAGCATTGTGATATTTTCTATATATTCCACATTGTATTGCTTTTAACTATCACTTTGGCTTTTTAAATATACTACACTATGTTCTCTAGGTCACTCTGAACTCTACGGACATCCATTATGAATTCTGAATTTGCCCTACCCAGAAGCTCATCTATATTTGACAGTTTCAAGTGAATTCAGAGGTTGTAGTGCATACTTGGTTCCATGGAAAACAGGCTAGCTTTATTTTGAGATAATATTGCAATTCTGATGAAGAACTATTTATTACTACATTGAAGATATTAATTCCCCTGAAGTAAATAAACACTAAACGATAATTCCTAAGTGTTAACTGCAACTTTCTGTCTATCTTTACTACTCCATTCTTTTTCCTAATGCAGGCTTGTCCTTCCTGCAAGCTTAGTACTTTCACTATTGGAAAGCCTTTTGTTTTCCAAAGGAAAGGTGAAGAGCAATAATAATTCTTTGCAAGACTTTGGCAACAATGTTATGTCAGAAACACCCACTTTACTGGTAAACAGAAACTATAGCTTTCACTATAAAATATTATAATTACACAGAGCAGCAATATCTCTGTGCTTTTTATCAGGGAGAAAATCAATAATACAGACTACAATTCTCTGTTGCACTACAGCAGACATAGAGGGCAGATGAAAAAGAGTCTATTGACTTAATAGGGGCTGTTACTATAGCAAAGTGGAATTGTAAAAGAAAATAGATTTTTAACTGATTTTAATCCAAACACCCAAGTGATTCAGTCTAATAAGAGATTTGATAAAAAAAATAAATAAACAGAAACAAACAACATCAACAAAAAAAAACCCCTCTCTTGTAGTTTTGTTCCCTTTCCTTATTTACATACACACTTCATGCCATCATTATTGGCAAGTATCCAATAATAAGAAACAATTCCATTAATGCTGGAAGAAATAAACTAGGTGTTAAGGGAATGCTATGTCCTGAAAGTATTAATTAGAATATTTCATGTTTGTATCTGAAAAATGTCATAATTTAGAATGTGCCATTTTGTATAACTAATAAAAGGCCCAGTGTTCCATCTTGCGGCTTTGTAATTCTTGTTAAATAGGTTGCATTGGGAAATTTTAAATATGCACAGTGGAAGCAGCAGGCAATTAAATCGCCCAGAGTTGAAATATAATATTGAGTCAGGGAGAGAAGGAGGAAAGAAGGGAGGGAAGGAGGGAGGGAGGGGGGAGAGAGACAGACAGAGAGAGAGAGAGAGAGAGAGAGAGAGAGGGAGAGAGAGAGAGAGAACAACCACAATTTTTGCTGTGTTTGATCACATGAATCAGTTTGTCAAACACTAAAGGAAGAATAGTAAATCATTAAAATGCTACAAGAAGAACTCGTGTGACATATGTTTTTTATTTTAATCCTCACTCAAACCAGGCCTAGAGGAACGAAGCCTGCATGTCTGGATAAATGGTTAGTAAAACAGCTGTGTTACTTTCCTTCCTCATTTCGGGTACAAACTTAGTGAGATGCAGCCCCCAAATCATAACCAGAAGCTGTACTTTTTACATTCAGCAGCAGCCCATTTTCAAAGAATGTAACCTACCATAGACAGAGAAATAAGAGGCCTATTGGATTTTTATTCTGTGTCAGCAACATAATGACATACTTCTATTTTAAGTAAGGTTTCTTTTTAAAAGGTCCCTGTGTGTATAGATTCTGGAAGGTAAACAGGATGTCATAAAAATGGTAAAAAAATAAAATATTTTATTCATAAAAACTTCTATACAGATATATTTGGTTGTTTTGATTCTGTCTGTAATTTGTAATGTATTCTAAGAAATGTCAACATTTGCCTTCCTTTAGTTTGAGATATAAAGATATCACATTGTTTGATCTATTCCTCTGTATGGGTGTAAATGCAGAACAAATCATCGTATCTTGATTCATGGTCATGAAAGAAGTGATACATTTTGTCTATCTAAAGGCTCCTTAATAAAAAGGTAAGACTTTGTAGGTATGGAAATCAAACACCCATCTCATTAAGAAAACCTAAGGAATGAAGCATGAGAAATGGGGGCTATTTAGCTTAAAGCACTCATAGTATCCGTAAGCCAATCTTCTATGCCGATTTTAAAACTGATGTTTTATTAACATAATTTCCTTTCAAAAACCATAATTCCTAACAAAACCCAGCATTTTTAAGGAGCTGTGAGATGTTCCCATTAAGTATGTGTAAATTGGTTAATCTATCTGCAGAAATATTTCCTGCCTTTATATATATTACATATCCCAGGGACCTTTGTTCAGTCACAGCCATGGGTTAGGAATAAATAGCTTATTTGTTGGAAGTCACGTGACTCTGTGAGGAGGTTAGGGTGCCCTTTTGTGCGCACTTACACCACCCAGTAGTGGTTCCTGGGTCTGGACAGAATGGCAGCCCCTGTATGGCCATGTGAGCAAATCACACTTTGTCGCTTGTTAACTGGACACAGTTATTCCTTTTGGTTCCTGGGAGTCTACCCTTTTCAATTTGGGAAGGTAACTATTGGGTCGGCAAGTAAGTAATTGCGGGTTTCACACATATATGGCTTCAGTTGAATTTTTAGGTTTGCAGACGTAGTAAAAATGTAAAACACATTTTGTTATTTGATAGTTGGCTATTCAGCTGTTAATCAGTAAAAAAAGTTTTTTGATCTGTTTTGTAGTTTTCGTTTGGCGTTCGTTGAAAAATGGAAAATCAAAAGGAACATTTTCGTCATATTTTGATTTTTTATTTCCACAAAGGGAAAAACGCATCGCAAGCTCATAAAAAGTTATGTGCTGTTTATGGTGACGAAGCCTTAAAAGAACGGCAGTGTCAAAATTGGTTTGCCAAATTTCGTTCTGGTGATTTTTCACTCAAAGATGAAAAACGCTCTGGTTGTCCAGTTGAAGTTGATGACGCCCTAATCAAAGCAATAATCAATTCGGACTGTCACAGTACAACATGTGAGATTGCAGAGAAGCTTCATGTATCACATACATGCATTGAAAATCACTTAAAACAACTTGGCTATGTTCAAAAACTCGATACATGGGTTCCTCACGAACTGAAAGAATCACAGTTAACGCAACGCATTAGCAGCTGCGATTTGCTAAAGAAACGTAATGAAAATGATCCATTTTTAAAACGACTGATAACTGGCGATGAAAAATGGGTTGTTTACAACAATATCAAGCGGAAAAGATCGTGGAGCAGGCCAGGTGAACCAACTCAAACAACATCAAAAGCTGATATTCATCAAAAGAAGGTTTTGTTATCAGTTTGGTGGGATTACAAAGGAATTGTCTACTTTGAACTCTTACCACCCAACCGAATGATCAATTCTGATGTCTACATTGAACAACTAATGAAATTAAACAATGCAGTTGAAGAAAAGCGGCCCGAATTGACAAATCGAAAAGGTGTTGTATTCCATCATGACAATGCAAGGCTACACACATCTTTGGTCACTCGGCAAAAATTAATGGAGCTTGGTTGGGATGTTTTGCCACATCCACCATATAGTCCTGACCTTGCACCATCTGATTACTTTTTGTTTCGATCTTTACAAAACTCCTTGAATGGTAAAAATTTCAATAATGATGATGATGTCAAATCGTACCTGATTCAGTTTTTTGCTAATAAAAACCAGAAGTTTTTTGAACGTGGGATTATGATGCTGCCTGAAAGATGGCAAAAGGTCATTGATCAAAATGGGCAATACATTACAGAATAAAGTTATTTAGTTCCATGAAAAAATTGTCTTTGATTTTCTTTAAAAAATCCGCAATTACTTACTTGCCGACCCAATAGTATAGTATTATTGAAGTTTTTGTTGTTCAAATAAGTTTTAGTTTCTAATATTTCCTGCAAATGATTCCAAGCGGTTAAATCTCAGTGTGCCCTTTGCCGACACAGACTTACTCTGCATGCAAAGCCCATCAGTGCAGTTCTTGGATTGCAAGACCAGCCCATCGCAGTCCTTGCCTCCGTTCTTGGGGGCTGGCGCTGTGCACTCCCTCCTGCGCCAGTGTGTGCACTCCGTCCCACAGGTAGACCACTTGCTCCAGGAGGTCCACCTGCCATCCACTGCCACAGAGAAAACCCAGCGTCAGGTCAAAGGGACAGGAGCTTTGGAGGGCAGAGGGGAGGGGAGCTGAGCTCAACTATAAAGCAAACAAATGCCCCGTGGAGTGCTCTATCTGTTTCAGCTGTGGACGTGGAGCGTGCTCTGCACACATCTGCTGGGCTCTGTGAACTCCCCTGTGAGCTGTGTGACTGTTTCCTCAGGGACCACGCAAGGGAACATAAAGGGACACACAGAACCAGAATTGTCACCAAAGCTATATAAAAGTAAGTCATGGTGGTGCCGCTTTTTCTATCAAATGGTTAAATTAACTTCTGGATTTTGTGTTGAAAATTAGGGGGCTTCTTTTCGGACCTCAAATTCCTTTATGCATAGTGTCATATGAGGAATGCAGTAAATCCATGTGGGAGAATGATTGACAGAGTGGGGGAAGAAATCTCTCTATGTACCTATTCTTCCATCCATTCGTCTATCCATCCATTTATCATTCATCAATATCTATCTATCTATCTATCTATCTATCTACCTACCTACCTATCCATCTATCATCTATCTATCATCTATCTATCATCTATCAATGTCCTACTCTTTTTATTTATTTTTTCATCTGGGCTAATTGGTTTTCTTGATGTCTTCAATGCTTTCTTAAAATACATTTTTTTTCATTTTTTTATTTGATGATTCCAGTCCATTATTTTATGATATATCCATTTCTATTTTTATTAAAAATATATTTATTCATTTCAAATTTTCTGCCATAATTCAGTAATTTAGAATTGACTCTATTCCAAATTTTGGTGGCTGCTTTGGCAGTAATTTCAATGATAATGAGCTGAGATATCTCTATTTTAAAAATAATTTCCATTCCTAGGTTTAAAAATTATGTAGTAAATTTATTGAACATCTAATATACATAGCATCTTATACCTGCATATTAATATAAATTATATCAATTTTAATAGTTTACTATATAATTTTATATTTAAATTATTGTGTAACTATATTATGCATATGTATAGAGATATACACATACTCACATGAAAAAATGATGAAAGCATTAATGCTTTAATGGTACAGAGTTGCCTATATAAGCAGCTCCTAGCTATCTGAAGAAAAGGCATTGCTTTGACCTAAACCAGTGGTCAGCAAACTCATTAGTCAACAGAGCCAAATATCAATGGTACAACTATTGATATTTCTTTTGAGAGCCAATTTTTAAAAATTTTAACTCTTCTAATGCCACTTCTTCAAAATAGACTCTTCCAGGCTGTGGTATTTTGTGGAAGAGCCATGCTCAAGGGGCCAAAGAGCCACCTTGACCATCCCAAATTACACACTCACGCATTTCTATTTCAACTCAAAATGCTCAGTGCATTGTGGGAGTCAACACCTAGGTAAAATATTGAAGAGTACAAAATAAAATCCTGAAATTATAAGCCTAGCTAGGTGTCAAAATTTGTTCCATAAATAAAAGCTCTCAAATAGCTCAGTGTAGATTACTATTTTGATATTTGGAAATCAACACAGGAACATAAAATATAGATTATGTTTTTATTTCAGTTCACTTCTTCAACCCATCTCTCCAAAAGTTTGTACTAAAACATAAACCAAACAAAAACCAGGCAAAATAAAGGAAAGTCAAAAGACTGTATCTAAACAATGAAATTAACAATATAATTGCTACCTCAATGAAGTGCACTAACTTTATGGATTATTTCAAAATAACTCTAGCTAAACTTTTCAACTTATTGATTAGAGTTTAGAGAGTTTTGGTTTTAGCGGCTATTAGCATCAGTTACCTAGGGATAAGAGCAGGTGACAATATAAAATAGCACAGAGAGATGCTCAGAGGCAGCGGGATGCAATCTGGGCACAGGAACTACTGCACATTACTCACAAAACAGGTGGCCAACCTGTACAGGTAATAAAGTGTTGACTGCGTTGTATTTTCAAAATCCATTAGCTCATGTGTCACAAAGCTTAGACTTCCTTTTCATTCAGCCCAAATGTTTTATTTGCTCTTGCCCAGAAACTGACACCAAATATCAAATATTTCCGTCTAAACATTATCTGAATTTTAGTTCCAATTAGTTCCCATGGTTTTCTGGAGATCAAGGGTTGTTGTTTTTCTAAAATGTGTGGCTTTCAGTGGTGCTCAAATCTCTTGAATTATAGAACCTGCAATCTTGGCTCCAGCAGTTTTGTTTAGAGAGGGATGCTGTTGGTGAGTGTTTAATCTCCCATTTTATATTATTTTTCATGGCTAGGTAATAAAGTTAAGTATTCTTTTGGGGGGAAATATTTGATTTCCTAGCAATGTAAGCACTGAATGGGATGATGCATTTAAATAATGTTTATGACACATGCAGGTCAAGGATAGGCTTTGAGTAGTTTTCCTAAAATGTATCTCTGGAATGGGAGGAGATATCTAGAATGAGAGCGCACTTATTTACCTGGGCACAATGTGGTACAGGCTATTTTCTGCACGCTCTGCCCTTCGCAGAAGGCACCGCCGTTGAGGGGTGCTGGGTTGGTGCAGGTCCTCGTGCGTTTCTGATACCCCCGTCCACAGCGGCTGTTACACACAGACCACTCTGTCCAAGTGGACCAGCCACCGTTTACTGGGAGGAGGCAAACAATAACATGTGGATTACATGTTTGTCCGTGCACACACAGACACACAAAAGACATACAACACATTGACACAAAGTTATTCCCCAAGGGGTTATAAAAAAAAGTCTAAAATTCAAAGCTAGAAGAGACCACATACTTCTTATCATTCTAAGTTTTTTCACAGAACTGAAGAATCTAAGCACAGAGATAAAAAACAAACACCTCCCCCCCCCAAAAAAAAAAATGAATTGCTAGCATTTAGTCACCTACCCTGGAAAGCAATAGGATTGTGTTCTCTTTTCTTTGGCCATTGTTCTTTTTAAAACAAAATACATTCCCTTACCTAGTCAAGCTCTAAAAATTACTTTTGACAGCTTATCTCAAATAATAAATGTTTACATCCTTATGCCAAGGCTGTAAGTGGATCTGAAACATGGGAGCTGCATACAATCATTCCGTCTTGTCTTAATACCAGATGATTGATTACTTTTCTTTAGCATATATAAACTTTGCAACCTTTTAAGGATTTTTCGTCAGTTTTAATGAGTAACCAACTGAACCAGGTCAAAAAAATAAAATCTTACATTGCTGTTTTGTTTTTGTTTTTTTACTAATTGAGTAGCTATTCAACTGAATTGGAAATTAGTTTATGTAATTGACATGAACACTTGTCTATTCTAATAAAAGAGTAATATGCTCATTAGACTGGGAGACAGGATATCTTCCTAGAGTCCGACTTCCTTCCAGGACAAAGCCATAGTGGTGGGGGCTGAGGCAGTTAAGGGCAATTAGGCTAGCAGGAGAGGGCAGTTGGGGGCCATGAGGCTGGCAGGGGAGCAGTTTAGGCAGTGATCAGGCCAGCAGGCAGGCAAGCAGTTAGGAGCCAGCAGTCCCAAACTGTAAGAGGGATGTCCCGTTTAGGCCCCATCCCTTGAGGGGTTCCAGATAGGAGAGGATGCAGGCCAAGCTGAGGGACCCCTCCCACCACTGTGCATGAACTTCATGCACCTGGCCTCTGATTTTTGTATGGTGCTTGAGGGAGATATCATTATAGATGAGATTATGAAGCCTGCCCTCTTATACTCTGCTCATTATTTACCTTGGGGATCTACTCTGGAAAATACTCCTCACTATGAATGCCCTGATGGAGCATGTAAAGCAAGTTTTAGGACGTTAACATTGCTCTAATGTGTAGGGGGCATATCAGCTCCAGTTTACCTGGGGTTTTGCAATCATTGGACTGAGCCAAGGCTCACAGAATAGGAAACAAACTGCTTTAAGCTTCTTCTCTCCAAATTTACTCTATATCTTGGTGGCCCAGGGTAGGGAGAGAGGAGGGCTCAGGAAAGCAGCTGGCAGTTAGGTAGATTTCCTTCATTTTCTCATAAACTGACTGATAAAGGGCTAGGACTTTCCAAGACCAGTCTTCCCATGGGCATCAAAGCAGCAGCGAAACCTCACTGCCTACATGAGCAGCAGGAGGAGACTGGCCGTGGGGATTGCCAAGGGGCTTCTCATCTGATGTTTGGCAATTAAGATGAGATCTGCACCTTGACAGGAACTAGATCGAGACCCCCAAAAGCTCACTCACCATAGACGATGACAGTGGCCGTTGTGCTTTTCCTCTTGGCAACGATGTTTTTGGCGACACATGTATAGTTTGCGGTGTCTGAGAGGCGGGCCTGCTTGATGATGAGGTTGTGATCAATAGTAATATAAAAATTCCGGTCTTCAACTGGGTCAATGATGTCTTCATTTTTCAACCATTCCACCTAAAGAGGCACAAGAGAAATAGGTAATCCCCCAGTCTGTATCCCCGCACGGGTGCATGTCCTAACTTTGGCTTTGCAACCCATATAACATTGCTCTGAGCTCGGAACTTCTGCAAACCGGGAGGAAGTAACTTTGAGAGGTCATGTGAAGTATCACTCACCTGCCAGGCATGCTGATTCTGTCTGTGCTGCGGTATTCTCAAATGTCAATGAACCCATTGGGAAATGCAGTGCTCAAATTGTTTTCACTTTGCCCCGCAGGCAGGAACAGGGAAGGTGCCGCTGCCAAGCTCAGAACCCAATCAAAAATAATAGGCGACGCATTTCCAATGGAACTCAACCCTTTTGCAATTTGATTTGTTTAGTTGTGGCAACCGACCTGCAGCTTTTCGGGGGAGAGTGTAAGGACGACGTGCAAAGCTCAAGAGGCAGCTTCCACATGTAGCTCTAATGAAACAACATTTGGATGATTTCCGCGCAGCCCTCGCTGAAACATATGGACTAGATTTCCCTGAAAATGCATTCCCTTTAAAATGCTGTAAACACATATTTTGAGATGCATCTGTGCCAAAATAGTTGGGGAGGAAAAAAGATTTTCTACCAACTCTCAATATAATTCAAATAGCATGGAAGTCAGACTCAAATTTCTCCTTTTGTGTATCACTAGCAGCAAACCTTTTGCTCAAGGTTTGCTTCTGGGGAACCTGATCACCGCATGACTGTCCAAAACTAGTAAACTAATCATTTTTTATGCAATTAATACCAACTGAGCAACAGTGATGTTATCCCTGCAGAATGAAAAGAGGGAGCTGCATCTGTATAAGCGGCCCTCTGAGGGAGAAACCATTTCTTGTCTTGTAAATCGTTTATTTTCCCCACCCTACCACCTTCCCTCATGTTCAGGTTTTTCCACAAAGCAAAACAACATTGATATTTACCACATTTAAACTTTCCTTTAGCATTAGTGCGGATGTGAATACAGGTAACCTTTAGTGGTAGGGAGTCAATAGTGTTGCCATTTTCAAAATCTTAAGCAGCTTCTCTAGCACCACAGGCGGTCTTGAAATTAATCTCTAAGTCTGTCAGTGGGCTCAACAATGCAAAGCTCTAAATTAAATCTAACCCAGGGACTCTAAGATAATGCTCCTCTAATCCGTAGAAGAGAGGCTACAATTTAAAGAGAAAAACAAAAACCAACAACAATCCTGGGGAAAAAAAAAAGTGTGAGAAAATAGATAAGAGCAAGTACATTTTGAAATAGGTAACTATTCTTGTTGTTTACAGTAATGGAAGTGAGAATGAGAACAGAATCCATTAAAACAGTGGAATTTTAAAGCATGCCTTTTGCCCTCACATACAGACTATACATTCAAGCAGGGCCATCCTTGGAGATGCATATTTGATCAGATGCTCATACTCATTTGACCTGGATTTTCTCACATTTGGCCTGTGTGTGTGTGGTAATGTGATCCTGCTAGAAGTGCAAGGAGAAGGAAGCAAAAGTCATAGTGTCAGAAATCAGCTTGGTAGTCATTGGAAGCTTACATTAATATTTTCATCTAATCATTGCCTAGGTTATCTATGCATTTTAAAGAAAGCTTTCCACATATAAAAGGCACGCTGGAGTTCCCCTGAGCTGGTCTTGGATCCAGGTCTTGGTTCCCTCCTACTGATGTGTGTCTGTGTCTGTCTGTCTTCTGTGTGCTTTACTTCCAAGGACCTATTCCTGCTACTGTGTTCTTAAGGACAGCCATCAGGCTCCTGGGATCTTTGCCTGCAAGTGCCTAGGGGTTCCCCGCTCCCCCACTCTACCCTACCCAATTTCTCCCCCTGAATATCTTACAGAGTGTGGAAAAAAACCTCAGGAAATTGGCTAATCCCAGTTGGAATCTAAGCTTTTACTCTCCAGAGTTCTCCTTGCAGGGTTGGGGGGGAGGTAAGGGGTAATGGGAATAAGGACACATATGTAACACCTTAATAAATATAGAAATAAGAAAATACCTCTTTCATGACTTTGGATATAAAAAAATAAAATAAAAAATAAACAACAACAACAACAAACCCTTTGCCTTGTGATTTGTTTCTGGAGAACCTTCCTTAAGTCATTACTATTCAAAACCATGGTTTCCTCTATGCATGTAATATCCATTACAATAGTATCATTATCCTAGTCATAAAAGACATAAAGAATCGCAAGGGATATTGTGAACCACTTTGTAATGGAAGAGTTTATTACATGGAGGGAAGAGAGCAATTGGAATAGTTGACAAGAGATTTAAAAAGACTTACATGATTATTACATAAAGGGTATATGGCCTTTACTTTCTTATATAATATTAGAAGCCCAGTGCACAAAATTCGTGCATGGGGTGTGTGTCTCTCAGCCCAGCCTGCATCCTCTCCAATCTGGGACCCCTTGAGAGATATCTGATTGCTCTCTCACAATCCAGGACTGCTGGCTACCAACTGCTCGCCTACCTGCCTTCCTGATTGCCATTAACCACTTCTGCCTGCCAGTCTGATCACCCTCTAAACACTCTCATGCCAGCCTGATTGATGTCTAACTGCTCCCCTGCCAGCCTGTTTGTCCCCAACTTCACTCCTCTTCCTGTCTGGTCACCCTAACTGCCCTCTCCTGCAGGCCTGGTTCCTCCCAACTATCCTCCCGTGTTAGCCATCTTGTGTGGCCATCTTGTGTCCCCATATGGGGGCAGTCATCTTTGACCACACAGGGGCAGCAATCTTCTGTGTTGGAGTGATGGTTAATTTGCATATTACTCTTTTATTAGATAGGATAGAAGCCTGTTACATGGGTATAGGCCAGCTGGTTTGCCCTGAAGGATGTCCAGGATCAGGGTAGGGTTTCCCTTGGGGCATGGAGCAGCCTGGGTGTGGAGCCTGTGGTGGTTTGTAGGCTGGCCATGCCCACTGGTGACTCAAGCAGAGGCCCTGGTATTTAGGATTTATTTATCTTCTATAATTGAAACTTTGTAGCCTTGAGCGGAGGCCTGCGCCCTCCAGGGCAGGTGGAAAGCTTAGTTTTCTCCATTGTCAGGGGCAACCCAAGCCTCCTGCTCTTCCTATGGCTGCAGCCATCTTGGTTGGGTTAATTTGCATACTTGCTCCTGATTGGCTTGTGAGCATGGCTTGTGGGTGTAGCAAAGGTACTGTCAATTTGCATATTACTATTTTATTAGATAGAATATGGCTGCCTGTTTCTTTCTTACCAATTTTTGAAAGGTGAATATGGCCTGAGCCCTGAGGACCCCTGAGGAGTGCCGGTATTGCTTTGGGGTGGGGGGGTACTGCCCTTCTCCCTGAACTCTGACTTTAATCAGAGAAGCTCATCTTTGATCTGTTTTCCACACTGGGCTCATTTGTATGCCTTTGTTTGCAGAAATGAAGGGTTGTACTGCTAGAAAATATCTATAGAAATGCAGAGGGGAGCTCAGGACTTCTCCAGCTTCTAATAAGACCCATTCTCTCTGTTCTGCACTTCTCAGTGTTCCCAGTCATGCCACATGTCCTGCTTTAAGGCCATCATCTGCACAAGGAGCTCAGGTCCAGTCTACAGGTCATCGCTCCCTCCTGTACTAAATCCTCATCCTGTCTACACATCCCTATCACTCCTCCTCCAAAACCCCCAAAGCCTTTCCATCTGGCTTTGGAGTAGTAAAATCCTTCAAATTTCCATTTCTTTTCAGATGGTTTTCTTCACTTTCCTCTCACTAAAAAACACACTGTTAATGATGCTACTGTTCTTCTGGACTCAACTCAAATGTGGGCTGTCTCCCAGATCAACCCACCACTGCATCTGGGGCTCCCGTGAGTGTCCTCCTGCTTCTGCATTGTCTATTCCAGACTGTTCTGGCCAAACACCTTTGCTCTGCATCTCATGCCATCGATTATGTCACCCAATTCCCATATTTTTGTATCTCATTTACCTACCTCTGGGTTCATAATCATTTTATCCAGCACAACTTCTGTCATAATTTCTGATAATTTTAATAACCAGAAGATGGCATTTTCAGCATCTTGGCCCCTCAGCCTCATAACCCTCTCTCCTAGGATGACCTCAATGGCTAAGTCAACTACACTCACAGCCACAGATTCCAGGACAGAGGTTGTGAATCCTGACCACTGTAAATAAATTCTAAATCCAACCCAGAGACACTCTTATTCACTGGTCAAGGCTAGTTGAACAAGAGTATTTTTCAAACTCCCCAGGGTGCTGTGGTTTGCTGCCAGAGTTGAGTAATACCACACTGGACCATTGTTTTTCAAATGAGATCATGAACCAATCGTATCTATGTTACCTGGAAATTTGATAGAAATATAGAATCCCAGGCCCTGTCCTCCTAGACTTGCTGATTCAAAATGTAAATCATAATACCATCAGGGGATTTATATGTGCATTAAAGTTTGAGCAGAACTGGCCTAGCTCTTGTCTTTACCACTAATTGCAAACCTTTCTAAATACAGTTTCAATATCTTCTCTTTTCACCATTTTCTGTCTTTCCTGCTTCTTCTCACTAGGACTCCTATCTTAACAAACCTGCACCAGGACTTACAAGCTATTGAACTTACCGACTTTATCTCTCCCCACCTCATGCTCCCTATTCCTGTTTATCAAATATACATTTCTGACTTTTTCTATAATACCTTGAATTATACCCTCAAGTATCTCATTCCTTTTTCACTGCAAGGTGCTTATTTGCTTGCTCTTCCCCTACCTACACTATTTATCCTTGCAGTAGAAAATGGCTGTGGGCATATCTTAATGTCATGATAACAGAACTCAAGTGGGCCCTTAGTTCTGCCAAAATAATCACACTCTATTTCTACTTTGTTCAGTGTCCTGGATTCCTAGACAGCTATTTCACACCTTCTCCCCTCCCCTTAAACACTGCTTCCCCCTCTATCACCACTTTCAGCTGATGACCAAGTTTCTGTATTGCTGAGAACACTGATAATCACAGCTTCCAAACCTCCTGCCACCT